TATCTTGAAGTGACCCCTTCCACCCCCATCCCCCCACAGAGCCTCTGCTGAGAGGGGAGGGGGGCGTTCTGGTGCCTTGCCTCTTTCGCTATATTTTGTGGTTAGCCGTTTTTCCAAATCCTTCAAGGGTCCTTGGATCTTTGGGTGATTTATTTCTCCCGAGGGAGACATGGGGAGGGCCTTTCTTCAGACTGAATTGGACCCAGAAGTGGAGAGCGGCCACCTGTCCTTAGTGACACACACCTGCACACTCTGCTCCCTTTTATTTGAGAGAGACTGCTCATTAAGCACACCTCTGGGTGCTTTGTTGTTGTTGTTGTTTTTCATTTTCTCCCACCAAAAGTGAGACCCAAAGAGGACTTTTTTAGGAATGAATGATCCATACTACTTTTCTAGACGAGGCAGAAGCAGGAGTCGGGGAGCCGCTGCTGCTCTGGCCTGGCGAAGCCCCTTTAACTTGTTTCCAAATGCCACCTGCTGTTTCCTGTAAAAGCAAACTTACTAAAGACTGTTTTTCCACATTTCTAGCTCCCAAAGTATGTGAGGCCTGCAAAACTAAAAACGATGACGACAATGACATAATGGAAACTCTCTGTAAAAATGACTTCGGTAAGTACACCACCGCTGCCAAGAGATTCCACATTCAAAAGTTTGAATTGCCATGAAAACCTAAAATTACCAGTCGTTAAGATGTTGCCACATAAGAGTTGGGTAAGATACAGTCATAGCTCATGCTCCCAAGTCAGCTTTCTCTCTACCTCAGTTTCCTCCTTGAGTGATATCTTTTTAGGTGAGAGTCATTGTTTTCTTAAGCAATCATCAAATGATAAAAAAAAAAAATTCAAATTGACCAGTGTTCAGTGGCACATATTTTATCTCACTTGGCTTTTTCATGGCCACAGACATAACTCCTGGCCGTGTTCTTTCAATCACAAAACATGCATGGGATAGGTACGCCCTCTACTGAAATTAGAACGTCAACAAAAGAGACTTAAGGCATTAAATTGGCCAAAAGCAAACATTTAGCCTGGTATCAAATAGAAATCTTTTTGCTTTGTTCGTAGCCATAAAAATGCTTTGCTCCTTGCTGTATCATGGTTAGCGTGTATACCACCAAGTCACCAGTTAAATGAACAAAGATACCTGACATGAGCTTTCTTACACTTTCGAAGGTGTTTATAAACTCTTTAAAAGTAAGTCTAGACACATGTGCCATAGTTTTGCAGACAGTTAAGGAAAAAGGAAGAAAGCATAGAAATTTGCCTTAGCAAGAAACATGAAAGACATTTGGTGACATGGGTCCTGGGGACAATCGAAAGCCAGAAAGCACAGTAACATTTCTACGTACAGAACAAATCCTGGAGTCAGCCTGAGGGAAGCCATCCCAGGTCCCACGATTGACAGCCTCACACTCTGACTTTTGTATCCCTGAAATCTCAGGTCCCTGGTTTCTGATAACTCTCCTTATCATACTTCAATCAACTCCAGGTACCTTCCAGGAAGTATCTTGGGTTTAACTGTAGCAGAGGAAGGAGGAAGGGAGAAGCTAGCCCAGAACCCAAATCTACCGTTCCCATTAGGAAGAGCCACAAAAGGAGGTCATAGGCTTTTATATGTATTCAGGTACCTTGGCATCATATAATCCCCAATTACTACACCTTTACCCAAACACAGCTCTTAGCTGGCACCCTACAAGACTTTATAAAGTGTCATTTTCTTCAGGTATCTTATGAGTTTTGCACTTGATATAAGGACTTGCTTCTGACTTTGCAACACAGTTGCATTTAGGGAACATATGTTCACAAACATGCACGAACACACATACGCACGCACGCACGCACACACACACTACTTGTTCTGTGGTTTATAGAAGGCCCCCTTTCTATGGATGTCCCACTAAGGTATGAGCCAAAAATTGGGTGTGTGTGGAAGTGTGGCTGGAAATGTGGCCATGGTCTGTCTCCTTAGAAAAATCCTTTCAAATCAGGCAAGTCCTCATACTTGAGAGAACACACATGCACGCACCCCAGGAGCTTTGTTTTCTATTTCTGCATTCCTCTTTGGATCCAGAAAGAGAAAATAAAGCCAAATTTCAGGAAGTGCATCATAAACTTTTGGTTTATAGTATCCCTTGTTGCCCTTGTTCTTTGGGAAGTCATGGGTAAAAGAAAGAAGTATAGATCGCGATTTATTTTAAAACTTGAGTCTCTGGGGAAGTCATAACATGTCCCCCACTGCCCCTATGACCACAGGGGAAAGCCCGGATGCCTTGGCACTTTAAAGACCCAGGTACAGATCAAATCCCTTTCTAAGTGTCCTGCACATGTCTGGGCCAGATAATATCACCTATGTCTCCTACCCCAGCTAGAATCCCCAGTCACATCTTGTAGGGCAGGAAAGTTATTTGGGAATCTTTTGATTCTCTATGTTGGATCTCCACTGAACATCCAAGTAAGAAATCCCCAGTGTTTTCCCATGATTGGCATCTCCAAGTTGGTTATTTGAGAGCTAGAGAATGATAAGTGTTATTCCTCCTCTTCCTCCTGCTGCTGCTTCAGAGTGGTGATTTTCTTAATGTTTCAAGCCCAAGAAACCAAGTGGCATCAGGCACATGCTCCATCCATGCTAGAGACTTTGTGGTATCCTGTACTAACTTTGACTCACCCCACTGTGGGGTCGTCTGACAAAACTATAGTCTGAGAGCTGGGTGCTGGTGGCTCACGCCTGTAATCCTAGCTACTCAGGAAGCTGAGATCTGAGGATTACATTTCAAAGCCAGCCTGGGCAGGCTGGCTTATCTCCAGTAAACCACCAGAAAACTGGAAGTGGTGCTGGGGCTCAAGTGGTAGACCTCTTGCCTTGAGCTGAAGAGCTGAAGGACAGCACCCAGACCCAGAGTTCAAGCCCCACGACCAAAACTCTATAGTTTGCTACCTCCTGGCATCCTTGATTTACCTGGCTGAGCTCTCTTAGCCTGGTTGGCTAGAAAGGCATACTTAGCAGCAACTCCTGAGATTTCAAGGAAAACCTCAGTAGAGAGCTATTACCAATTTAAACTGTATCAGGTCTCATTAGAGTCAGGAAGTTGTACTTGCATGTGGTCTGTACAGAGCAGCCATCGGTGGCCCCAGTATCTTAGGACACATTAGAGTTGGACAAATGAATGTACCAACCAGGACAAGAAATTAAGAGAACATGCCCATGTTACAGAAAGAAGTCTGGGGGCTGAGGAGTAGACTAAGCTCCAGGACCCAAACTTGCTGGGTGGCCTGAGGCAAGTTACTACATTTCTGGACTTCAGATTCTCTGGGTACTAACGAGAGATTTACTAGGATGACTATTTCTAACCTTAAAACTTTTATCCTTTTCCTGCCTTTGCGTAGTCTTGAAATTTAACTCCAGCCTGTGTATTGGTAGAGTTTTCTTTCCCAAGGCACACAATAAAATGTGTCTTTTATAGGAAACCACTTACATTCCATCTTTAACATTCTAATGAGTCTACATATACATTTTGGACACAGTACATACATGATCTACAACTCCTCGGCCCAGGACAGGCAAACAAGAGCCTAAGAGGATGAGGTCTTCAGAAACACTTTTATGGCTAAACATGTTGTGCTCTTAAAGAGAGACTTGCATATGTTTCCCTCCCCCCCCCCCCCCCCAGTGACTTTCCCAAATCAAATGCAGCTGCAAGATCAATTCTGCTTTCCTGCAATCTATGCTGTAGAATATGAGGCTTGTGTGATACAGTTTCCTTACAGGTTTGTCCAAAAACTTGCCTGCCATAATAAATGCAGTTTAAAGTTGGCAGCCACAGATGGATAGGGTTTCACCTAGGACTCAGGCATTTGTTTTCATGCTGAAGTTTCCAATAGGGAAACTCAGTTTGCTAGGAAAAGAGGGATGGACCCCAACAAGCTGCTGCTTCCTGACTCAGGTGAGGAAGAAAACCCAATCGTTTTGAAAGGGCTGCTGCTTTCAAAAGGAGTGTGTGACAAATGCTTTGAGGCTTTAGAAATGGAGCCACCTGCTGCCTCTGCCCACATCCTCCCCACTACCTGCAGCCCCAGAGGCTCATTCATTCTGGGAAGCTCTTTTTCACGGCCCCTAGGCGAAGTCAGAGGAAATGAGACTCCATCTAGACTGCCTTCCATGTGTAACCATGTATCTGTTGTGATTCGGCCTCTCTTGTCTTCACAGCACTGAAAATCAAAGTCAAGGAGATCACCTACATCAACAGAGATACCAAAATCATTCTAGAGACCAAAAGCAAGACCATTTACAAGCTGAACGGCGTGTCCGAAAGGGACCTGAAGAAATCGGTGCTGTGGCTCAAAGACAGCTTGCAGTGTACCTGTGAGGAGATGAACGACATCAACGCCCCCTATCTGGTCATGGGACAGAAGCAGGGCGGGGAGCTGGTGATCACCTCGGTGAAGCGGTGGCAGAAGGGCCAGAGGGAGTTCAAGCGCATCTCCCGCAGTATCCGCAAGCTTCAGTGCTAGTGCCCGTGGCTCCTGCCGCCACGAGCCAGCCGGGCTGACCGCCCTGCCCCTCTGCCTGCCCCTACAGACTGCCCAGACACAGCTGCATCTGCGCTGGCCACCCCCAGCCCAGGCACGTTCCCGTGCCCCTCACACATGGCCACCTACAGCATTTCTGAGTTACGAGACCCCAGGTGGCCTCAGGAAAGGATAGTGGGTTTTCCCATAAAGGAAAACCCCAAATCTGTAGCAATGTCCAGACTGGTTAAACCCATCAATATTTTCATGACATTTTAAAGTAGCTGGGGGGGGGGATGGAGTGGGGAGAGTGTTTGTTTTCAGTTCTGGGGCTTGAACTCAGAGCCTGAGCATTTTCCCTAGGCATTGGGGTTCAAAGCTGTTGCTCTACCACTTGAGCCAAGGCTATTTGCTGGTTAATTGGACATAAGAATCTAATGGAGTTTTCTGCCTGGGCTGGCTTTGAATCATGATCCTCAGATCTCAGCCTCCTGAGTAGCTAGGATTGTACAGGCACAAGCCACCAAGCACTCAGTGAAAAATATCTCAAGAATAGTTTTGAATAGATGGAGCTGTGACTTGGGTCTGGGCTCTCTCCTGTCCTCTTTCTTTGGTCAGTCAGCTGACTTTCACTGCTCCTTGAGGTGACTTGTTACACAAACTGCTTCACTTTTCTCTGTGGTCCAAACCTGCGGACCACAGAACCTAGTTGAGATAAAGCTGGCCATTGTCTCAACGTCTCCCCCAGCTGCAGCCTGGCACGCCGAGCCTCGCAACAACTCACTGTTCATGCCGCACCCTCCCTGGGAACTTAGGACGGCTGCACTACTGCAATGCAGCTACAGAACCTCCATTTATAAACAGCACAGTAACCATTCTCCATAGCCTGATGAGTTCTTCAAGTAAAGGGCAAAGAAATCTTGATGAACTGACTGGAGTACTCAAAGCCTTGTTTAAAACATTTTTTACTTAACTTTTGCAAATTAAACCATTGTAGCTTACTTGTAATATATATCGTTAGTTTACCTTAAAAGTTGTAAAAATGTTGCTTTAACCAACACTGTACATATTTCAGATAAACATTATATTCTTTGTATATAAACTTGACATTCTGTTTTGCCTTTGTCTTTTGTCTTGTGGAACACGGAGCTAGGAGGGAGCCATGTCCCAGCTCTCTGGCAGTTGGAAGTCCTCAGTCCTCAGTTTCTCCATCTCCCTTGTGACACTTCTCTTACGGATTCCACCATAGCTGGCCCTGTGGGAAGCAGAGACTTGAAAGTGTCTTTTGTTTCTTCTTGTAGTTCAACTATAGCTTGTATACTGTAACTGTATACTGTATACTGTTACCTCAGCTAAATATGTTGCTCAAGTGATAGAGCACCTCCCTAGCAAGCGCAGTGTCCTGAGTTCAAGTCCCAGTACTACCACTAGAAAATGGTCATGGGCTTTACAGTTTTGCTTTCCATCTTTTGGAATTTTTTTTTACAATGTAAAAGAATAACCATTGCAAGAATGTTAATCCTTTCCCAAGTTTACCTCTGACCCTCAGGTGAAGAAGCGCTAATTTGGAAAGCATCTGCCAGGAGGCTAGGGATTCGAGAGAGTGGACTGAAAAATTAACATTAGAAAAGAAGTAGACAGACATTGACATCAGTAAAAGGTCTTAGCCCAGGTGGGTTGCGGTAACAAAACACCTTAGTCTGGGTAATTTATAAACAGAAGTTTCTCACACTTCTAAAGGCCCAAGTTCAAGGTTAAGGAGCCAATAGACCTGTCTCAGTCCTCAAATGGTGAGGGCACCAATCACAGGGGCTCTGCCAGCCCCGAGTCACCTGAAAGTCCTCCTGCCAAGTCACTGGGGCCAGAGCAAGAGTTCTGGGGGGACACAAACACATCGCAGCAATGTCCATCCAAATGCATCACCACTTCACTATGGAACCTCCACAGAAGCTGGGAGACAGGCTGAGGGAGGCAAGGCTGCCAGAAGGCAGAGCGGTGGTGGAAACTTACCTGCCAGAGAACAAGTCCAGCCAAGGTGCTCAGGCCTGAAGAGATACACACCAAGTAGCTACCAAAGAACAGCAAGCCCTCGATCTAAGTGCGGAGGTTGCCACCTTAGTCCTGGTTTCTATAGAGCTCACAAGAGAGAGGGAGGGGAGACAAACAAAAGCCAGAGTATTACACATGCAGAGCCGGGAGGTCGTGTGCAGTAAGGGGATGGTGACTGGCAGTCTCTCGATCACATCTGAAGTTTCTCTGATGGCACTTGTCCATCCAAGATGGCAGACTAGAGACAGGGCAATACCAGAGCTCTGTCTGCTCTATCGGAAATACAAAGCTCTAAAAGATTCCTGGACATCCGTCCATGATGGCTCTACAGCACTGCAGTTAGTGTCACCGAGGCTGCACGGCCTAAGCAGCCCTTTACACATGACGCGGCCTCTCATTTGATTCCACCACACAGGGGGATTATGGACCAGACTGAGAAGGGGTCAGGGGACTCATCCATCGAGGTTAGTACTCGTTTTCAATATTTGGAATGAGAGGCTAGAGCCCCTGGAAAGAACAGGTAAGACAAAAGGAAGGAAACAGTAAATCAAGGATTGATTTCATCAAGGAGCAGGAAGAGAAAGGGAAATCCAACTGATTCGATTACAACAAAGACAACGGACATAATTCAGAAGAATCAACCTATCTGAATGGTCCGTCTCCATCCAAGCCCTAAGTCACCATGCTTACACAAGCGAACAGAGAAACTTCGGCTCTGGAGAAGTGTTAATGCGAGACACACTTCTGTCAGCCATGCCCTGAGTCATTCCAGTATCTGCCTCTTGCCCCAAAACTATGGCCATTTTAAAGGAAGATCCTCAGGAAAACCAACATGCAGAGAGGAACAGATGTATCTGCAAAAAGCTGAGAGAGATTTATTGTCTCTGAGATGGGGTAAGCAAGCCTGGCACATGGGACAAGGGTGGGACTTACACAGATTCCAATGAAAGAGCGGGCTGTGGGAGCAGATGGACTGGCCCAGTCTCCATTCATTCATATGTATTGTAATAGTATACTTTCCTCATACACAGTGGTCCCTTAGGATTAAATATATGTAAAGTGCCCGCCGTTAGGCAGCATTGTAAAATGTTTTTATGTTACCTGGGCTGTGTGTAGCTCCCTGCAGAGCAGTTTAGTTGCTGTCCGGGTAAGAAACACAGCAGGTCAAGCCAGAAGTTCACACTGGAGGGCAAAAATAACTGTGCACTCTTTCTGGTTGGTGCTTTCTATAATGTACCTTGTTTCAGCACCACCACCACCCCTCTGGAGGAGGAAATCTCGAAAGTGCAGAGGAGGGAGAATACCAGTATTTTCTCTCACAAGAATGTGACTTTGGTGGGGTAGAGTCAATAAGATCTCAGCTATTAACAAACAGGAAGCACGCGGGTATATCCTGGCCTCCGCTCCCAGTGAGAAATTCACTTGCTACTTTTGGGTGAATGCAAGTCAGAAAAAACAATCCCTAACTTCCTGGCCGAGGCATCGAATATGTTACTGGAAAGTTAAGGCAGGTTCATGAGTATGGCAAGGGAAAAATTCAGGTAAGATTTGAACATAGTAAAGATGATGGGAAAGAACACGTGGCAGAGCTGTGTCCCGACAACAGCACCTCAACTCATTTGGAGCCATCTTTGGGGTTTTAAAGACTGATGTTGAGTCAAATGAGGGTCCTTGAAAACACTCAGAACATTTCTTTCCTCACACCCCCACCCCTGCTTCCTCCCTTCTTTCCTCTTTCCCTCTCTCCCTCCTTCTCCCTCCTTCCCTTCCTTCCTTCCTTCCCTTTCCTTTTTCTGTGCCAATCCTGGGGCTTGAACTCGCAGCTTGGGTACTGTCCCTGAGCTTTGCTGTTTATGACTAATGCTCTACCATTAAGCCATCGCTCCACTTCCGGCTTCTTTTGTGATTAATGGGAGAGTAAAATCTCATGGGCTTTTCTGCCTGGGCTGGCTATGACCAATGATCTTCAGATCTTAGCCTTCTGAGTAGCTAGGATTATAGGTGTGAGCCATTGACACTAGGGCCATTCTGAGGATTAAAAGGAAATCTCAGACATATCAGATATGTCTGAGGGGATGCCTGATATCAGACACAGTATATGCTTAGCTGAAGCCTTGCATACTGTAAGCGCTTGATAAAGATTAACTGTTTACAGCTAGGACAGTAGAGCCTGGCTGTCCTGGGCTGGGCTGTCTGGCCTCAGCATAGTAAAGGGGAGCCCTCTCAAAGGAGGACTGGCCTAAAGAACACAAGGAGAGGGGAGGGGCAGGCGCCCCAGGGGACTGCTGTGTACCTCTCCCTCTCCCACAGACAGGGCCCTACACTCCATAAACCACAATGACCCTGGCTGAACTTCCAGGCTTGAAAGTATGGCTGGGTTTTAAAAGGAGCTCTTCTTTTTTTTTTTTTCCAAGATCAATTGTTCAGAGAACTGAAAAGCTTGCCTTCGGAAGAGGCTCAGTCCTAAAACCTGTAGGGTAAACCATTAAAGAGCAGGAATGTGCTGTGTTTCTCCACAGGGAGCAGGGCACACCACACCCGCCACCACCTCCACCACCACAGCCCTCCACCGTGGCCATTCTGCTCACTCGCTGCTCTGCACTAACCAGAAAGCCAAGAACCTGAAAGCTGAGCTCCCGCTAACATCATGTAAGTGAAGCAGCTGTTACATGAACCTTAAACCACATGTCATGTGGCTGAGGGGGAGGGGCTGCGTGGGCCAGGAGGCTTGGGTCCCCGCTCCACACATGAATTTGGAAGGCTGTGGTTTGAAAAGCACAATGCATTCTCCCATAGAAGCAGGGTTGTAAACGGCAATTAGGGCTTCAAGCCAGCTCACAAAAAGTCATGTGACCACACTATGGCCAAACGCAGTACATTTCTACCTGGGGGGAAAGGAGGAAGAGTAGCAATCAATAATGTTATAAAACCAATAACTAAAGAATGAGATAAGTGATAAAGTTAAGAATCTCATTTGTTCCAACTAGCCATGGTTAAGCACAAGCAGATTTAATTAAAAGCATTTAAAGCAGTAGAAAGCTGCTGGCTGTCCAGACAGGCTGAGGGTCCAGGGAAAATGGGGACTGTAGTAAAGAATCTGGCAATGGGGGACTAGACCAATTTACAGGGTTTCTGCCTGTCGTAATGGGCCAGGGACTGAATGTGAAAGCTGGACCTGGGCTGTGGATGGAGCTGAGGAGTGAGGATGACAGGAAAGGAACTAGATCTCACCCATGGGGGCCTGGCTTCGGAGATGATCAACCCACCAATCCCAAGTGTGCCTGGCCCCAGTCAGCAGAATCCAGAAGCTTCCGTGCCTTTCTTTTATATGAATTTCTGAGATCACATGAGCTTGGCTGCTCTCACTGGCTTGGATGGTTTTGAAACACACACACACACACACACACACACACACACACACACACACACACACACCATCCTTAAAGAGACAGAATCTGTTTCAAATGTCCCCTTCAGGAAGGAGAGGCCCAGCCAGCTGTCTGGACTTTCCCTCTGTCCCTTTGCCCCTTGGGTGTCCAGCACACAGCTGAATGGACACATTCTGAGTCACTTGTGTTCGCCTAATGTTAATAAGAAAATACACATTTTTGTCAGCTGATATAAACACATGCAGAGAAAACAAAAAACAAAAAGGAAAGGAACGAATTGGAAAGAAAATTCATTTGTAAAGCAATGCAGTAGAATTTTGCAAGAACTAAACCAGCAGGGGGCGCCATTATCCCAAAGCAGTTCTGTTGCCCCCTGAGGGAGGCCCTGAGAGGTTAGGGCCAGAGAAGGAAGACTGAGGCCGGTGGCATATGCCTGTAACCCTAGCTACTCAGGAGGCTGAGATCTGAGGATCACGGTTCAAAGCCAGCCCGGGCAGGAAAGTCCATGGGCTCTTATGTCCAATAATTAAAAAAAAAAAAACACCAGAAAACTGGAAGTGGTGCTGTGACTCAAATGGTAGAGCACTAGCCTTGAGCTGAAGAGCTGAGAGACAGCACCTAGGCCCAGAGTTCAAGCCCCATGACCAACCGAGAGAGAGAAAAAAAAAAGGAATACTGAAGGGATCCAGGTTAAAGCAGTTAGTGTTAAAGCCTGTAGTATTAATGCAATTTACATTAGCTTACAAATACACACACAGGTACAATGATTAATCCCCTATTAACTAAAAAACTTTCCTAATCTTATTTCTTCACATTGGTTTATGTATGTCTCCTGTCCATTTTCTTTTGACTTAATGCTTGCTTGCTTCCTTGACTTTCTTTCTTTTGGGGGGGGTAGGGAGGGGGAGCAGGTGGCAGTCCTGAGAACCGAACTAAGGGTCTGGGTAACTGTCCTTGATCTTTTGTGTTCAAGCTAGTGCTCTACAACTTTGAGCCATAGTGCCATTTCCAGCTTTTTGGTAGAGGTAAGAGTTTCATGGACTTTCCTGCTCAGACTAGCTTTGAACATCAGCACCTGACTTAATGCTTTAAAAAAATTAATTTCTAGCAGTTATTTTTTGCTCTGAATCTTAATCTTTTGTCAGTTTGAGGTATCTAAATACGTTCTACTGAACCATAGCTTGCCTTTTTTAATTGTAACTTTGTACAGAAAATTTCAATTCAAGCATAGGTCAGGTTATTATTTTTTTCGTAGTGGTTTATCCTTTTGATTATTTATTGTCTGACATATCTTTTCCTATCAGGAAATTCTTTCCAATCATCTTCTTAAACTTTGGCTTTCTAACATTGGCTTTATCTTGGTATGGGTTATCTTTTTTTTTTTTTTTTTTAATGATAGTCTAGTTACTAAACAGCCCAAGCCATTTCCTGCTCAGAGCTGAGAAACTAAAAACTGCTTTCTCATAGATGCACCCATGTGCCCAGCAGGGTCTTCTACAATTTCCATGAGAGTACCTGTCTACACCTTCACCAAATCACCAAATACCGTATTTACTTGTCTAGCTGTTTTTATCCACTTTGTTTTCTAACATCTTTGCCTCATTCACTGGCTATAGCCAGTCCCCTCAGGTCTCTGCATGTCAGGCTACAAGAGGAAGGTATACAAACTACCACCAATACACCAAACCTG